TTTAATTATTTTCATTATTGTTGACCTCAGCAGAATCAACATCGATATGAGTTTATTTCTAAGTGACCACACATATCCAGTCATTTATTTCATAGTAGCCAAAGTAATCCAGTCATTTCTTTCATAGTGACCACACTAGTCCAGTCATTTCTGACGTACGTATTATGTTAGACAATCGGACATTGCAAAGTGAGTTAATAAGAACAGAACTTCTTAACAAACACAACTTGTCTCATTGTCCGAACAGCTGAAAGGATCATCTTTTAACATTCATAATCTGATTAGAGTTAAGAAATTAGCTCAAAGTCAGATGACAGAAAAGACTTGTCTGTATTTTTTTCCCCTTTTCTGATAAGAAGCTTGATCAGTAAAAATCTTTCGAGAAAAACTGAATTAAATTTGACAAATGTGAATTGAAGAGTTAAAATTCATTTCACCTATGTTATTAATAACAAAATTAGTAGATCTAGCCTAATGACGATAGGAAGTGTATTGATAAGAAATGAATGATTGCTTTTGCATGGCATCAGCATTTGCTATTGGCTGCTCAATTGAATCATTATTTTTCCTTGATATTTTTAAGTTTGAAATTTAATTACCATATGCTATTTCTTCATGATCGTAACCTAATAGTACTGTAGTTCAAGTCTGAAATGAGTAGTTTGCAATTTTTGTCGGAAATATATGCATTTGTTGAACTAAAAATGAAGCAATGAATGAAAACTTACAGCCGAAGGACCAACTTACAATTATACAATACCCACGGAGAGCAACCTCGATTCACTTTTCATTTTCCCACAATTGGATCCGGTAACCTTGGAAATTGGGCTTTTTTTGGATTCTAAACTCTACGAGCATTTCCAACGTGAATTTATCGATGATCCGGAACAACATTTGATAGATTTCTCCCTTGCTCTTATTAACAATGTTCATGTCCTTTATCAGCAATCATCGATGACACCAAGCTTGGATATTGTCATCGTACGATTTGAATTATGGAAAAAACAACCGGTACCGTTTTCTTTTTCATTTGAAATTAAAAAAATTTTAAGTTATAAAGTCAGGAAATCGTTCTCAAATTAAATATTGTTTTGAGATTTGCTAAAAACCATTTAAAGTATTATATGATAATGCTTAGTTATTGATTGCTACGAAACGTGATAATTATACAATTTAATCATTCTTTCCTAGTAGAACTACAACTTGAAACGTACGTGGAATACGTGAAATATGTATATGGACTAATATAAATCATTTAAGCTGCTTTTTTTGGTTCAAACAAACAATTTAATTATTCATATATGCTGAATTTCAGACAGGACTTGATACGTTAGCACATCGCAATGGACAAGCACAAACACTCTTAAATCTGTTTTGTCGTCATCAAGCCACTCTTAATCCAGGAACTGATCTAACCGATCCAGAGCATTGGGATCACGGCATTCTTCTTACTGGGTTTGTCAGCTCTTTGGTGGCTTGCAAGGTTTTCTAGATAATGTTTGAATGAGGCTTATTAGATCCTTTTTGTTTTTTAATTTCATAAAATTTGATGAGTTCACCGATAAATATTATCGAATAAGTTGCAATCTTGGTAAACTAACGCCGAAATTAAATCATATCAATTATAGCTTCAAGAAAAATTAAGAGGAATAATCTTAACGGACGAAAGATATTTCTACTACTTTTTATCAATTACGAATAAAAATTTAGAAGAAACTTTAAAACATTCTCGGGACTGATCTCTAAAAGCAAAATTTTGTTATTAAAACTTTTGCGCTGGAAATTTTCAGAATTTAATTTATTCCCATAAATGTTTAATAGTAGCGGTATTTATAGAACTATAAAATACATTTGGCGCAATTAGTCTTCTCCGTGACCATATGTCAGCCACTTGTTGTCTAGGTAGGAATTGTTAATGTCATGCTCCAATCCCAATTAATTAATCCAAAAGTTAATCGTCTGAATAACTTACATAATGATGACAATGATAAGCTTGTATCTTTCGTTGGAATCGGGTAAGGAACATTACCAAGTAATCAGGTGGATCTTCTTCCTGAGGACAACGAAAAATACTTGCAATGAAGGAATCTGGCATATCTCAGTTGGAACTTCTTAGTGCACTACGTTAATTCTTAGTGATGTGATTAATATTAATAATCTTAAGGATTAGAAATGTTTTAGAAATAATAATCCCTATTGCTTATCAAAATAAACCGTAAATACGCTACAGGTATGATATCTACCATACAACAACTTCGGTTGCTGGTGTTGCACCTGTCGCACGAATGTGTGATCAGATATTTGCATGCAGTTTGGTAGAGGGAATGCATCTTGGTCGATCATTTGTTTTGGCTCATGAAATGGGACACAAGTTTGTTCAAAGTTTTTGAGGAACAAATATTGTTTTCGAGCTTTAAGAAATAGAATAAAATTACCAGTGTGCGGTTTTCCCCGATACTGGAATATTCCAGTTTGAAGTAATGGGAATTAAATGAAAGCTCAAAGCAAAGATTCTGACATACTTCTAAAAGAAAGCTATGATTATTTTTTATTCCAGCATGGGTATGGTCCATGATGGAATTCAGAATCAATGTGGTCGAAGTTGTTGCCTGATGTCAGCAGTTAATGGAGCTGGTAAAACTACCTGGAGCGAATGTTCAGTGCGTGAATTCAATGCATTCTTATTGCAGTTGGAGTAAGATCTAAATCCATTCACTTTTTCAATTATTTTTTAAATTTTATTTTCGAAAAGTTATTGCATCATATTCTTGGTAAATTGTTCATCTTTTTTGATTGCAGTGAAAGTGGCCGTGGTAATTGCTTACGTGATGGATCCGAAGGACTTGTAATTTATAATCATATGAAGGATAATCGTTTACCTGGACAACGTTTCACAGCTGACCAGCAATGTTCCTATTTTTGGGGCAGAGGTTTTGAAGTCGAAATACCAAAAGAAAAGACAATGGATGTTCGATTTTCCTTACACTTTCATAGTTAAAACAATCATTCTTGGTCATCGAAGTAGTGAAATTTTTTTCGACCGTTCTTACTCTCGAGCCTGGCTTCACATATACAAATTTCCTTCTTATTCTTTACTGAAGCTTTCCGAATTGCAAAGTTCAAAGTTTAACACTTCAAACTGACTTTCCACTATTTCAGGATATTTGTCGCATACTGTGGTGTGGAAATAACGGCTCGACAATATCAACAGCTCATCCAGCGTTAGAAGGAAGTTGGTGTGGCGGTAATAAGGTGCTAACTATTACGTTAATTTTAATCAATCAATATTTAAGTATAACTAATTAAAAGATCGTTTTTTCCAATTTCTCCAATTAACAAGCGATGAAAAATGTAAGATTTTCTTTCTTACTTAAACTGTAACTGAATATTTTTCTTGCGGAAACTGCGCCATCCCCACTTTTATTCAAATATAATAAATGGAGCAAAACGTGATTTCGCTCTACAGTATCCATAGATCCTATTTCCGGTGGATATAAACATCCCGCTTTACAGTATCCATGGATTCTATCTCCGGTGGATATAAACATCCCGCTCTATAGTATCCATGGATTCTATCTCCGGTGGATATAAACATCCCGCTTTATAGTATCCATGGATTCTATCTCCGGTGGATATAAACATCCCGCTCTATAGTATCCATGGATTCTATCTCCGGTGGATATAAACACCCATCAATTTTTCTCAACACTGATATTATGTATTAGTAGAGATTGTTGGGTATTGCAGTTCTGCATTGAAGGGCAATGTCGGCAATGGTCACAACGAATAGCTCCAGCTAAGATAGATGGTGGTTGGACTGAATGGAGTAGTAAGGAAAAACGATGTCCGATCAATCAATGCCAAATAACGGGCAGTATTCAAATTAATAGTCAGATGCGAACATGTACTAAACCTGCGTTAGTTTCTAGAAATCATTTAAAATGATTTAATTAATTATTTATCTTTACCTTTAATTACTTGAAATTTCAATCTTTCAGTATTTAATATAATTTTTTTTGAAATTACCAAAAATATGAAATGAACTTTGATGTTAGTATATTTTTTATATTATATTAAGAAAATACATATACATATTAAATATGGATATGATTTCAGAAATTTTGAATTCTTCCTGTTTGTTTTCATTCTTTTTTATTACATTTTTAAAGTTATTTTTCTAGGCCTAATAATGGTGGTAGAAAATGTATAGGCTCAAATTTGCGTGGCCTAATTTGTGATGGTGTGAAATCAAGTTGCAAAGCGATGACATTGCTAGAATACGGTACTAAGTTATGCACGGCAATAAAAAATGATCAAGAAAGGCCGGATCGACAACTTACCGGTGCTACATTTCTTCGTTAGTTTTTCCTTTCTTGTTTTTTGAAAAATTTAAGTTATATAAATTACACTGTTCATATCTGTTTTAAATTGCTGTAATTTGTTGCATTTTTTGAATTTTTTTTAAGAACAAACTGATTTATTCAAAGGTATTTTTTTCATTTCTTTGTTTCATTACTTTTATTGTACATTGTTCTATCATTTCATCATTTTGCAGACGGTACACAACCATGCAAGATCTGGTGTCATTTGATTGATTCGGAGTTGATCCGAAATAAGGGCCAATATCCAGATGGTTCCCCATGTGGGCCTGGAAAATTCTGTGTTGGAGGACAATGTTTGGTCAGTTAGTGGTTCATATGTTAAATTACTTAAAAAAACACAACTTCCTTAATGCAAATAAGTATTCTCTCGATAACTACAAGAACATAGTTACAGACATTGATGTGTAATAATAAAGCTCTAGTGGAAAGCAGAGAAGAATGTCCTATCGATAGTGATGGCCAGGAATGGAGTGAATGGACCGATTGGTCAGAATGTTCAGTTACTTGTGGTTCTGGTGGGAAACAACAACGGAAGCGAATCTGTCATTCGGTAGGAGTTTTGCTGCATGTTCATTGCATCTGGAAAATGAAGAGTAGGTTAATGAGGTAACTAAACCTGACCACTTCGTTCATCTCGGAAAACTTACCTTGATTTTGTTTTGTAAATAATGCAAATATTGGAAGCACTGATAAAATTGCAGCAGAAATGTGTAGGTGAATCAGTGGATTCCCGATCATGTGTCCCTCAACTATCGCCTTGTCGGGAATGGAGTGGATGCAATGTAAGCTGTAGTGACGTAGAGCAGAACATAACACAGAATTGCATTGAAGAGCGCAACTGTTCCAATGCTATTAAAGAAGGACAGGAATGCAGCAAGGTGACATACTTGCTTATTATTTCAATCAAAATTATTGCTTATTCTTGCTTCTTCAGGTCAAGTATAACAATTTTAGGATAGCTGTTCTGGGTGGCATGAATGGGAATTATGGTCTCCATGCAGTACAACCTGTGGCAGTGGACAACGGAGCAGGAAACGCCAGTGCAATCAAATGGATCGATGTGAAGGCGAAGGCACTCAAATTGAGCCATGTGAAATTAAGGTTAAAATGTTTTAATGTGATATCTAATTAAGACAATCCTTTTCTTCAATAATTCTCAGAATCCAGCTAAGCTTAGTTCAATTATCAACTGAATCCATTTGTAACTTCCAGTTTCTTTATACGGTAAAGAAACCATGTAACATGGATATGAAAGACATCCATTCCATAATATTCCATAATATTTCAATTTGCTAAGGATCATGTTTCAGAAATGTGTACTGGAAACATGGGGTGATTGGTTACCTTGTTCGGCATCATGCGGATATGGTTTTCAGTTACGTGAACGTTTATGTGATGGATCATTGTGTGCTAGTGGACAAAAACAAGCTAGAACGTGTAATGAAAAAGTTAGTTCACTTAAATGATTGCATAGTAATTTTTTGTCGCGAACTGAAAGAAATGATGAATTACTCGAATTTCAGAAGTGAAAGATCCAGATATTTCAGTTTTACCATTAAAATATCCTAAAAACTAAAGTCACAAATTTCAACACTTTGATAAATTACAGGATTGTAGTGAAGATGAAGTATTGCTGCAACTATGGCACGATTGGTCCGATTGGCTACCCTGTTCTACTTCCTGTGGTGAGGGTATACAAATCAGAATCCGGAAATGTATTTCAGGTTCGTCCTTTCGATATTGACAGGCATACAAATCAAAAGAAACATTACATGATAAACGCTAATCTCTCTCTCTCTCTCTCTCTCTCTTTGATTCTTTTGACAATATTCCCGTGATGAGATTCTTTTGTTGAAGTGAAAGTATCCCTGAAGTAAATTAATAGAAAAGTATGTTCCTCAAATTCATCTCTGAAAGATTAATTGCATGAGTTAGCATATCATTATATAAAGGTAAAATGATATATTCCGAAATCTTTTTAGGGAATTGTCCAAAATCAGATTCACCAATTGATCAACGACGTTGCGTTTTACGTCCATGTCCCGAATGGACTTTATGGAGTGATTGGACTGATTGTCTAACTTGTGAGCATAAGGAAGAACGATATCGTGAACGATATTGCCGAATAGGCCTAATACGAGCTGGTGATAACGAACATGAATGTCCTGGTAAAAAAGCTTCTTTTCAAATGAAATGTCACCCAAGTATGATTAATTGTTAAATGTTGAAATGTGATTAAATATAGCATTACAATGTGCACTTTCTATTGTGATATTTGTAACTTTTAGGTAAAGCGAAGGAAACAGAATCTTGTGATATTTCATGTGACATATCAATCTATCCGAGTGATAGGAAGTCACGTCGTAAAGTACTATCAGATCGTACTGTAGAAGTAATTAATCCGAGAGCTAAACTGTTAGATATGTGGGAGGAATGGCAAGAATGGGAACCATGTTCACGCACTTGTGGTGCAGGTACTCGCATAAGGTTGGTAAAGTTGTAAATTTAATTGGTTGCGAACTTTTTGAACTTTTTGCATTTTTAATAGATTTGATTCTTACCTCCCTTCACTCTTTTCCTATCCATTTTTCATCTCATTTCATATTTTATCTGCACTTCAATGCAGTCCTACTTAAACTTGTTAATAATTCACTAATTAAATGATATTAGCAAATCAGGTAGCAAACTTATTAAAATCTTTTCCTTTCAGGAAACGAACTTGTCGAAATGGTATTAATTGCATGAAAAGAGAACCAATTTTAGATATTCAATTATGCGAAAGCAACTCATGTGGTACTTCCGGTGAATTATCCTAGTTATTTGATGAGCCAGTTTTGCAAAAAAAATGAGTGGGAGTTACAACAAGAAAATTCATTTCACTTAAAGTGGGAAAAAAGTTCTATAAGAAAGTAACTGGTTTAAGTTAAATTGTAATTAAATTCGTTTATTGTTTTTAATAAAGCGTAAATAAATGTTCAAAATGTCGTGAGTATACGACAAGAGACGCCATAGGCCCTATGCTTTAAGCCCTATACTTTAAGCCCAATGCTGGACGTTCTAAAGTAATATTGAAAACTTTTTTCTCGATTTTACTTTACGACAATTATGTTGCTGTTCCGAATGAAATTATGTCTCATTTTGCTAATTAGTATTGCTTTATAAGCATAACTTTCTCACGGAATTTTCCAAATTTCCAAAGCATGCAAGCATTTAGCAAATTACTATGAGATAAATGCATCTTAAAATGATTGCTAAACAATGGACGATGTAGTTTGAGGGGTGTTAAAATAGTTGTTGGATAATAATTTTAGTTGTTTTTTAAGTTTCAAATCTGCCATTCTTCGGGAACATTGCTAGAATCAATGAGCTCTCAATGACATAAAAAACTGAGAAAGAATGAACAGAAGTAATGATAGTACAATGTAGAAAGAGGATCCAGTAATGTTGAAATTGATCGAGAGGATTCACCTGTTCTGTCTTCATATCATGCCAGATACTTCTGCACTTTTGAGCTTGTATGGAAATCCTTGAGAATAAGCCTATAATGGCATATTGGTATTAGCTAGGCTTGGCCAATTCAGAACCTATCACCATATTGTTCGTTGATACATGCAACAATAATTGAACCTCATGATCAGGCTGGTCATCTTGTTGAACTCTTTATGATCAAAGCCCAAAGATTTAATTGAGAAAGTGCAAGACACCTTTTCGTATTTCTGTACAGTGGAACATTGGTGAAAAAGCGATTATGTAATAACATATCTTGTCCAGATGCCTTGTCCGGAATTACGGATTCTGCATTCTTTGATACAACTAATTTCTGTTAAACAGAATTGGTTCTGAAGAATCTGATGATCAGCAACAATCCACTGGAAGCTATATTTCTTGGGTCAGGAGAGTAAACAAAAGCAACATTTGATTGATACTTTTTCTCTCATAAATTACAAAAAATCAAGCTTCCTTTTATAATTGCAGTGCCTGAATGGAGTGAATGGAGTGAATGGTCACGTTGTAGCTGTTTCTCAATGAATCAATTCAGACGACGATTTTGTCAAATTTCGGATCCATCACTGCAAGGCTTTTGTGTGGGTAGCATTTTGGAGAAGAGGATATGTACTCCGCATATATGTCGTACGTGGTTTCATTTGCATACCGTTGTGGAATTTGTCATATCCACCAAGTTGTCATGAATTTAAAATATGATATCACAAGATATAGAGTAATTGGCAGTAGTGCAATCCGCTATTAACTTTCAGTTTCTGAAAATGGTGATTGGTCTAGCTGGAGTGACTGGAGCTTGTGTTCAAGCGATTGTGGTATTACTGGTCATCAAATCCGAAGCAGAATGTGTTCTAATCCATTACCTTCTAATAGGTTTTGTATTTCGACTATTTCTAGCAATCATATTTCACGTAGTTTTTCCCATAGAAATTTCCGAGTACCACTTTAGATTCAAGTAGCACTTCCGTATGACAAATTTAAAGGTTTTTTCTGATAAGCCAAAATGTTGCTAAACTGTTATATTTCCATCTCTACCCTTCATGTTCTTGTAGCTGCGATTTTTTCAAAGTAGATAAGATAATTTCAGAGGTTCATACTGTACCGGTTTCTCATACGATCAACGACCTTGCATACCAAGAAGGACCTGCATTGGAATACCAGTTGACGGAAAGTGGACATCGTGGTCTGAATGGTCACAGTGCTCCGATTCTTGTAACAATGGTCATCAGTCTCGAACAAGGTAGCTTATTGTTAAAGTAACCATTTAATGACACGTGATGTAAGAGTTATTCTTAAGTTTATTTGAATGACAACATAACTTCTAATAATCCAATTCATCTGTGACAAAGGAAAGTCCCTCTGTTCGATAATTACGAAAGTTACTATATCCGCCGAAGAAAACCTTATCAGAAACTTGTGCCAACAAAAGCCACTACTATTATTTTTTTTTTCAGGTTCTGCTCAAATCCTCGTCCATCAGAAGGTGGCATGCAGTGTGTTGGCTCAGATTTCGAAATAATGTCATGTAACGATACTTCCCGTTGCTTGCATTGTAGGTTTATCATCAAATGCGAATAGTATCAAAAACTTTCTGAAAGATTTATCACTTCTATCTGCTTCCACTTCATTCCTTTAAAAGATCTATGCTTAAAAAGACAAGCTAAAGCAAAGCTAAAATATCTATTGCATGCAATGATTTTGGAAGCGATTATACTGCATGCAAGCCTTTTAAGCATGCAGTTAATGTTTGAAGGATGATGCGCATAAACGGACAAAAGATGCATGACGTGAAACATCTGTTGAGGGAAAACATTTTCAAGGTTCCTTAAAAGCAGCTAAACGATTGGTTACTCACGCTAAACTTGCAAGCAAACCAGGATTCGCATTATTTGCACGCTTTATTGATGCACTTTAGAGGTTTGCAGCGCAAGATGGAGCGTGGACTGAATGGAATTCATGGTCAACTTGCACGTCCACATGTGGCTTTGCTTATCAATTACGTCAACGGTATTGTGGAATGCCATACCCTCAGGGCACTGGTAAGCCGTGCGTAGGGATTGCTTATATGAGCAATATGTGCAAGACTGATTTTTGCAAAGGTTAGCATTCGTTTGGCTGCATGTCATAGCCTCATATGTTTGATATCTGCAATTGATATTAGAAAATGGATAGAAGAATGCTGCGGTATGACAAGTTTCCAGTCTATCCAATAAGGTACACTTTACCTTCAGAAGGCAAATAAGGTCGAAGGTGGTTAGCGCTACCGTTCCAATGTATTTTTTGGCCAGCACTACCGTTCCAGTGTATTTTGCCAACTTGGGTTCTGGGTAGCTTGTATATGTTTAGCTATAATTTGACGAGTCGTAACCGATGAAGTGTATTCTTCTTTTACCTAAAGATTCGAATTTAAATGCCAGCGTTCCGGTAAATGTTAAAAAACGCAATGCGGTAAACGTAGTGCAATTAATTAAGTAACTAGCGATAAGTTTTTTGGAAGAAAACTATCGCTGAAATTTGAGTGATTGTTTCAAAAACATTAGATATGCTGATAGTTGGCCACTTGCAAATTGAGGGCATTGCAAACTTTAGATTCAATTGATGGAATGTGGTCAGAATGGGGCGAGTGGTCATCCTGTATTGCTGATTGCAAAAACGCTCTCAAAATAAGGTTTCCTGGATTTAAAATTTTCTCATGAATTTGACCAAAAGAAAGTTATTCTGTTCTTAAAGATTTTTAGGAGAAGGTTGTATCAGAAAAGATGGGAAAGTTTCTTTAAACTTATTATTAACCGCACCAGATGATCCTGAGTAGTATAGAAGTTTAAGTTTCTTTTTGTCTCTCTCCCTCTCTCTCTCCCTCTCTCTCTGTTGACCTCAAAGAACTATCAATTTCAGTTATCAATTGGCAGTTATCAATTATTTCAGTTATCAATTTTTTTTTCCATTATCAATTAGCATTTCCTTTTTTTTTGTTTACAAGAAGATGCGACTCAAATGAAAAATTCCGAAAATATTGAAGCTGAGAAAGGCATGTACCAAGCTATGCTATTTCAATTTTCCTACAAAACAGTTAGGGTCACTATGGGGAAGATGACCAAAGAGTGTGGACATTACATTTCAATGCAATTAATGAACAAGTTGTGAAAGCATGCTATAAATATTTATATTTATTCATTTTGCATGTTGCATGTATTTCATCTTAGCATGAAATCCCACCATTTTTCCACCATTCGTTCAGCTATTTTTGATAGTCTAAATAGAATGTTATGGTCATTCTGAATTGCTTCATCAATTATTTATTTCTGGATGTTAAGAAATCGGACATGTGAATCACCGAAACCAATCAATGGTGGTTATCCATGTTTCGGACGTTCCTTCGAAACAAAACTATGCCAACAGGAAGAATCAAAAAATAGTTGTTCGAATTCGATGCGAAATATTCATCTGATCGAAATGAAAAGTATGCTTATTGATCGATGAAACTGTTACAGTTATTTCAAATTTCATTGATTTATTATCATACTGAAAACAAATAATGGAAATATTAAGATAGCTTATAGCTTACTTTGTTTCTTATCATGCAGCATATGACTAAACTTGTAAAAGTAGCATTTTACCTGAATGTCAATGCTCAAATAACCCTTTATGCTCAAATATTTTACCGCAATTTCATTAATCCTATTGTTTTGTTTCACTCGGTCATGCTAGAATTAAGAGTTCCCAGGATAAAGATATATGTTAGCAGTTTAATCTAATATGCATTTTTTTATCAGGATTTGTGGATGATTGTATAAAACATTGGAATTTTATCTCTGGTTAAATGCCATCTCGTCTTATCTCATTAGAATTCTCTCTCTTATCTATGTGTTAAGGTATTTATGATATTATACTTGTTATTGATTCCCGGTATTTCCATTGAATGAGTGGGAATTATCACATAACTCCAATTTGTGTACCTACAAATTGAAGTTCAATTTGTTTTTTCTTTTTTTCAATTTCAATTTGCATACATCAATTGTGATTTAGGTTGTACTCATTAATTACAGATAAACATTTGTATTTTCAAAGTTCCATCACGTGTTCTGTCTTCTTACTGTATGAACCATTACAGAGCATTAATAGATACGGTAGTAACATTGTTGATATTTGTAAATTTTACAGCCTATTATCATCTTATTTCTTTATTCGATAATTTCAAGTTAGACTAGTATTGTAGTCTAATAAAGCAAATTATTTAACAAGAACTGCATTAGAGTTACAGCTAAATGGTATAAAATTTAATTACTTTAAATGAATTTAATTAAAGAAACATAATATATCTTGAAAAGGTAAAATTGACCAGGTTAAATTGCTGGTTTGATTTTAATTTTACTTACAGCAATATTCGCTCATAGTTTTTCTCATCGAAAAGAATTAAATTGATGAAGTTAACCGTTGAAAAATTCACAATTTCAAATTACGATCGTTAACTTTTAAGAAAATTAAGAGAGAAAGAGAGAGAGAGAGAGAGAGAGGAGGA